TTTGGATATTCCCCGGGGCGTAGAGCAAGGCTTTGATGATAACAGAATCTCAAATGAATTATCCTTCGTGAAGCCACTGACATTTTTAAATAAGACTGGTCGCATTTGAAACGTAGTAATCATATACCTCGTTAGTACCTGAAATTCTTAGTTAGAAAAAGTTTTTTTAAAATGAATGCTAATAATTATTTTTAATAGTGTTATTTATAACAAAAAAGAAAAACACAAGTGTTCAGCTATCAGTAATTCTCTAAGGTGATGAAGGTCTATCAATATAATGTGTCATATGAAGAGTGTCACACTGTGGGAAAAGGTGCAAAACAAAAGACACATACGGAACTGAAAGTAAGATAAGTTCACGTGTCACGACACAAATAAGTAAACAAATGTGTTTTCATGCTGACACATTCAGAAAGAAGTCACGCCTTATAATTCTCTGAATTCTTAGGGGGAAAAAAGGAAGAGCCATCCACTTTCTTTAAAGTTTACATAAACACCTTAATCTCATTTTTCCAGAGCTGTATTTAAATGCCCCACTCCCTAAAAGAAAGTATTGTGGGTATTCTCTATTTCCTCTTTACACACTGGTGTATTTAGCTTTTGTTTGAGATTATTATTTTCAGGGACCCTGTATTAATTCCATAACCAGAAATTAAAGCTATAAAACAAGCACTTCCACATATCTACTAATAATGCTAAAATAAAGACAAAGGACGGAACTACATTCTAAAACAAACTATGCAAACAAATGAACTACATTCCTTTATTACATGAACTTAACTACAAACTGCTTCACTGGACAAAAATTAACTTACTAGAAACCTGGGCCGGCCAGACTGTGAGGAAAATCCCCCCAAGATTTTCACAGAAAGGTAAGGGAGACGCCACATGTGCGATTCAGGGCGGGTGGCACTGATCACAGCAGGTGCTCAGCACAGCATTCACAGAGGAAGCGCGTCCCTGTTATAGGTGCACTGTGACGCAGCAGCTCCCTTTACTAACCGCAGCCTTCATCATAACTTTCTTATAAATTCTCCACCCTTTCTTACACCAAGCTGTCCTTAATATTTTAGGAAAAAAGAAAAAAGACATTAAGACCATCAATAGGCCTTCAAGTAGGAATGTAAAGGAAATCAGAGCTGTTCGTCATCCCCTTAAAAACAAAGGTGATTTCACCAAACTGGCTAGATGGTTCCCTATCATTTTGTGCCCATCCCTCCAAAAGGTAATCGTTCTCTTTTGTAGTTCTTGCCAATTCTAAATCTATTCTAAGGCAATTCCAGAATAGCTGTACTTTCTTCCAACAAAGTCCAGACTACATCTCGACGTCTTAACTGGAAGAAGACACAGGACAGCCAAGGATAATGAGACTGATAAGTTTAATGATATTAAAATTAAGCTTCAGTAAGAATACATTTTTCCAATGCATCATGTGTGCCAAGGGTCCCTTCCTGTCAAGCTTTCCTCACCATTAGCACTGTCAGCATCAACAAAACCAGATCCTCTCGTGTACCTGCAAGGGGACAATTAGAAAACACCTACGCACTTCACCCCGCTTCACCCAACATGACCCGCATGTTTTACTCTTTTAGAATCCCTTCATATTAGAAAGAAGTCAGACTGTAAAAGTACTCTTGTACCCTGTTCAGTGGGACTTTTGGTTTCATTGTTTGGTTATTCTTGTTTTTCTTAAAGACTCAGTATATTTATCCTTAATTATTAGTCACATAAAACAAAATGAGAATCACCATTTTACTCATTCGGAGTTTAGCTGGAGATACCGATTTTGTATTAGGAGTCAAGTGTCTCCCAATAAACAGATAAATCTAAGAACATTTCAACATGATAGTATGAGGTCTGATACAAACTCATACCTCATATTTAGAATCTGATTTTCCTGTCACTTGGATACTTGAATTTTAATTTATAAACAAGCTGAGACCACTTCACTCACATAAGTTAATCCCAAGCCAAATATAGCCTATTTCATCTACCACACCAGGAACAGACCCCTTTGGGAATTTCTCTACATAAACACAGATGACGAGAGCACTTCCAGCAGAAAGTGAATTAACAGGGAAAGGGAGGACTCTGGAGCATTTCACTTTCCTGTATATCTGAGATGTTCTGAGCTTAGTAGATAACCGCAGATGGTTACTGTTCAGGCTTCCGTCTTTCTGCTAAGAATTCTGGATTGTTTAAAGTTCCAACCTCCTTACTGTGTTTTACTGGACTGTTGTACCAAATCTGCTCAAAGATTTTCACATAGGAAAAAACAAAAAAAGCAAAAATGGCTAGGGCTATAGGGGTCTTTTGAAGTTATGCTAAAAAAAAAAACAACAATGATTTCTGCAAATGTACACAGCCAAGATGTGGTATACTTGGTATATTTTTGCAACATTTAGAAATATAATGCACTTAGGGGAATAACAAAAATAGAATGCTCGCCGAATTCAATCTATAAGATTAAAAAGAACATATGTGAGAAGTATAGTCAGAACCCAAATATTCTGTTTGGAGTCCTATGAAATTGTTATCAAGATCCTCTCTTAAAAAAAGGTCTGAATTTGGGAAAAAGTTGGCAGACCTTATCATTTAAAGAAAAATATTTTAGGTATATTTGTCATGTGATTTTTATACCCTAATCTACTTCATTTCACAACCATCATCATGTGTTATATACGCACGTTCTGATTTTTGAGGCATTCTCTTATAAAAGCTCAGCTGGTTTTCACAATTCTGTAATGTCAGTGTAGACAGGTTCTACCATCAAGAGGAGGTAAAGTTACTTCTGTGGACAAACAGCTAAGTTGCAATAAAACCTTTCTTGATAAATGTGCTTTACTAAATGGAAATATTTCAATTCATTCAAAATCTGAGGTTTATGGGAGATTCCCTGAATAAACATTAAGGCAACAGAAAACAATCTTATTAATTCTACCCACAAAAAACAAAATATAACGATAACAAAGCTGAAAGGAGAAACAGTCCATAAATCTGTTCACTAATCTTTAACCCACTAGCATGAAACTCCTGGGCGAGTTCACACGGCTGCTTTTGTTGCTTCAGGAGCCTCCTAACTAGTCTCCTCACGTCCAGTGTGGCTGCACTCCGACCTGTGTACAGAGTGATTTTTCTGAAAGGCAGGTCTGAGATTGTCACTTCCCTGCTGAAAACTCTTCAATGGCTCCCATTTCTCTTAGAATGAAAGATAAAAGGCTAAATTTATAAGGTACTCTTCAGTCTGACCTTTCAACAAAACACCACCTCCTCTCCTCCTCCTTCCAGAAAAAGAAGCTCAGTTACCTGATTGGACATGTTCTCTCCCTCCCTGTTCTTTCGGGGGTGTGTTTTCTCTGCTTGGAACTCTCTCATATCTTTATCTGGAGACGTCTAAGTCATCCTTAGGGTCTCAGCATACACACATCACCTCACTGAGGAGACATCCTCATTCCTTCCCGATTAAGTTAGATGCCCCTGCCATGTCTATGCTGGGATTCACACCACGTTATTATGAGCTCTTGTTTTACACGAGTATTTCCCTCACTGACTCTAACTACATTTGGAAAGGATTGTGTTTGTCTTGCATACTTTGTCTCTCCAGGGTCAGGCCACCGTGTCAGGAGACAGAAGAGGCTCAAGTAACTCGTGTTCAATGAAAATATCAGTATCAGTTAATCTATCAAAATACGCAATATTTCGGGTGGTGCCTGTGGCTCAAAGGACTAGGGTGCCAGCCCCATATGCTGGAGGTGGCAGGTACAAACCCAGTCCTGGCTAAAAACTGCAAAAAAAAAAAAACCATGCAATATTTCAATTAAAGTACCTTTAAATTGATCAGCACTGTGGACTATGAAGCAATTTTCTTAATGTATCAATTTCATATATTCATTAATTCAGCTGAGATAAGAATAAAGATATATTTTGGCCAGGTGCATTGAGCACACACCTATAATTCTAGCACTCTGGGAGGCCAAGGCAGGTGGATCACTTGAGCTCAGGAGTTGCAACCAGCCTGAGCAAGAGTGGGATCCTGTTTCTAATAAAAATAGGAAAAATCTAGCTGAGTGTTATAATCCCAAGTGTAGTCCCTCTGAGGGGAGAGGATCCCTTGCGTATAAGAGTTTGAGGTTGCTATGAGCTATGAGACCATGGCCTTCTGCCCAGGGAGACACAGTGAGACTATGTCTCAAAATAAATAGAAAGAAAGAAAAGAAAGTAAAAGAAGGAAAGAAGGGAAGGAGGGAGGGAGGGAAGGAGGGTAAGCCAGAAGGGAGGAAGGAAGGAAAGAAGGGAGTGGGGGAGGAAGGGAGGGAAGGAGGGAAGGAAGGAAGGAAGGAAGGGAGGGAGGGAGGGAGGGAGGGAAAGTAGGAAGGAAGTAAAGAAAGAAGTTTAAAACATACGTTACAGAAATAGTTTAAAATAGACTGGGTAGCCAAAAGTGATGGTTATAAACTCATTAAAAAAACCCTCTTTGAGGAACTATTAATTATATAGACTAAAAATGAAATATAATCATTTAAAAAGAAAAATGATGACTAGGCTCCTTTCTGAACTTAAAGAAAGTTTTACTCCTTTGGTAACAGAACAGCAAGCTCCTTTGTTGCTGATGTTAGAATAGCAGCTCCAGAAGCCAGGGATGGCCGGGCTCCAGGGTACAGGCCAGAACCGACTTTCTGCTCCCTATCTCCACTTTTCCCCTTCCTTTGTAAACCCTTTATTATATAGAAAAGAGAGAAGAAAGTAGAGAAGACAGAAGGATCATTAGGAAGCATTTTCAGGTGCTTTTAAGAAATTCCAGTCCGCCTAAAACAACAAACTGAGGGGAAAGCCAACACAACGATACGGTAACTAGCAATTCCACTGGCCCTGAGCTGTCCGAGGAGCTTCTGAAGGTGACACTTGGTTCTTTAATAGACTATTTCAACACAGAACACACAGAAAATAAGCAAGAACCCAACTTTTCAAAAATGAAGCACTGTCAGATGTCACTTACTTACCTGTTCGTAATAGTGGATGTTCTCCTCAGCCACGTCTGTAAACGCCGACTTGAGATCATTTTGCATGTTCAGCTTCCACCGTTCCCAGTCTGCTTTGAGGGCATTATTGGCACATTCCACCTTATCTTCAAGTTTTCCAATTTCCTCTGTAAGCTGAATCAGGTCACAGCCAGATAAATTAATCTGTGTATTCTTGCATTAATACATGAATCTATGTATTCTATAAGTCTTCTTTTGGAAAAGTCATTAGTATTTACCACATGTATGCGTTAAAGTAAAAAACACTCAATTCAGTGCGGGCTGGTGAGCAGAGAGGTCTAAGGTTTGCCACCAATTAGAATTTGACCTTGACTAAGTCTCTCAAATCCTGGGCTTCGGTTTCACTATTTATAAAACAAAGAAAATTGAACTAAAAAGTATCTCAAAAGCTTTTTGTACTAACTCATTCCTGCTATCGTTTCTGGTGATAATACTACGTTCAAGTTTTACTCACTCCAGCTCTACAGTTGGGTGCTCATTTTTCCATTGTGCTTAACAGAAAGCTCAATTATCGGAGATGTTATAGCATCTAGGCCCAGGGACTAAATTGCCAAATTTCATTCGGATAACTGGTCAGAAAGGCAGGTTTCTATTTCCACATGCCCAACTCTTAGTCCATGTATGACCTGACAGGCTTAATATTTATGCTTATCCCCACCTGACCCCACCAACCTTGCAGCATGGAATCCATTGATTTATTGTTTTATTTTTGCTTATGCATATCCATTTATATTCCAGTTATTCATATATTCAGCATATATTTATTAAGTGCCTTGTCTATATAAGGCATTTTTCTAGGTCCCAGAGATTTAGTAGTGAAGAAAACAGACAGAAATCCTCTTTCACCAGAGCGTATACTGTACCGGGGAGAGACAAACTGTAAGTGAGATAAATATAATATAAACTATCAGCTGGTGATGCAGGCAAAGAGAAAAAGGAAGCAGAAGGGTGCACAGGGGATGTTAGGATGCTGCAATTTTAGGTAAGTGTCTGGGGAAAGCCTAAATAAGAACATATCACTCGAAAAAATATCACAAGTAGATGTGAGAGTGAACCATGGAATCTCAGTGTAAATGCCTTCCTGCCACAGAGAACAAGGACAGCTGCCTGGTGGTGGAAGGGAGCTTGTTTAGGAATAGGAGAACAGCATGGTTACAGCAAAGTAAAAAAAAAAAAAAAAAAAAAAAAAAAAAAAAAAAAAATGAGGAACAACAGCGAAAAAAGAGGGGAAGAAACGAAATTAGGTCAGAGCAGCAGTGAGTCTCCAGTTCTTACTGAGCCATGCGGTCTAGGGTAAGGTTCTTGGATTTTATTGGGTAAACTCCAAAGCCAAGAAGATTCGAGCAGAAATGACTCTCCCTCTCATGTTCTAAAAAAGAGCATTATATTATATGTCACCACCATTTTATGACTAAAAGGACTTGTAAGAGGTCATCCCATAAGAATTCCTATTTTAAGACGTTAAAATGTAAAAATATATGTCTTAGAATTAACAAATATCTTGTTTCTAAAGCTTGCCTGAATAAACTCGTTTTTTTAAACATGGAATTTCACTTCTCTGTTCATATTTCACTGCAGCCAAATCTGCTTTCGTTTTCGAAAAACTAGACATTTGGTATCATATAAACCTTATATTACCTTGAGAAGATCCATTTCAGTGGTGAGTTTGGTTTGCATGTTTTTAAGTGTTTTTTCACTTTCTGTTCCAGGGTAGAACTCTTTCAGTGATGCCATTTATAATTTATGGGTTTGTGACCTCTTTTAGGTAATTATTTTGTTAAATCTTAGCAAATATGTCTACTGGGATATTATTGAATAACTAAGAATGGATGCTAGGGGATACACTAGAAGTAAAATTGTTAAAAGGCCAAACTCAAAGAAGACCTGGGTCTGCTAGGAAAGCTTAGGAACTGGTTAGAAACCATCGCACCCCTGGACCATGGGACGGAGTTGTGCCATTTGTATAGCCAGATGGAGATTACTCACAAACTGCACCCCCTGCATCTAGAATCAAGATGTGCATTACTAATTGTATTAATAATTACTGACCAAGATGTGGTCACTAACTGTAACCACGCTGCTATTCTCCTCTGCTTAAACTTTGCAGTCTAAAACTACCATGCACTGGACTAGAATACTGGCAGAGTAGCTTTGGGGAAACACATTATCATTCTAAATCATTCATTCTATCTTCCTCCCCTTCCTCACGGGAGCTCAAAATGGTATTACTGCCAGAAGGATTTACAATGAAGAGTTTTCTATTTGCCCTTGTCCATCTGTAAATCCCCTCATTAAAGCCCCTGAAAGAGGTACTCTGGATGGTTGGGGGTCCTGCTGTGGCCCCAAGAGCTACCGCTTTTGTAAGGGAGAAATTAGGTAGTCAGTCTCAGAACCTGGGCCTCCTGCTCACCCACAGACAGGTGCAGCCTTATCAGTACAACCTGGTCAGTGCTGCTCTGGAATTAAAAAGACCACCAGTAGGTTACACTAACCTGAGTTTAAGTCTCATGCTGTGTGACGTTGTGCAAGACTATCTGTTGAAACTGAGTTTCTTCATCTATAAAAATAAAACCCACTTTACAGGACTTTTAATGAAAAGTGCATGAAATAATGAACACTAACTGGTTCACACAGTCCCTGATAACTTGTGCGCTAAATGTTCTCTCTTACCACCACCAATACCCCAAGCAGTATTAGCTGGCTAAACTGAACTGTGCCTCTAGGACTTCAGTCAGTTTCTAGTGATATTTCTTAATCTGTTCTTACCAGTATAGAAGATGATATATATATATATATATATATATATATATATGTATATGTGTGTGTATATATATATACATACTTTAAATACATATGTTCAATTATTATTTTTTTGTGGCTATATCTAAATATATATTTTTTCTTTGATGAGCTCTTCATTATTTCATTTGGAAAAGGAGAAAACAAACGAGATATTTCATCATGGTGAATAATCTTCCCATAATTTCAATCCTAAGAAAAACTAATTGATAATAAACATAAAACATATAATTCAAATTAAGAATGATCAATCAGATCTATATCTTAGATGCCCTTCCTCTCAGTTGATCTTACTAAGTTCTCTAGGACAAAGACTCTGCCTTTTTTTTTGAGACAGAGTCTCACTTTGTCATCCTTAGTAGAGTGCCATGGCGTCACAGCTCATAGCAACCTCAAACTCCTGGGCTTAAACCATTCTCTTGGGTTTAAGGCACCTGGGACTACAGGTGCCTGTCTCTATTTTTTAGAGACAAGATCTTACTCTGGCTCAGACTGGTCTCGAACCTGTGAACTCAGGCAATCCACCCACCTTGGCTTCCCAAGTGCTGGGATTACAGGCGTGGGCCACTGCGCCTGACCAGGACTCTGCATTTTGACTGTGCCACCCACAGAGTTGAGACTCTGACTGAACATACACGTTCAATAAAAATTCAGCAGAGTGGCAGGAAGAGAAGTTAGAAACCTGCCAGGCGAGAGGGAGAAGCCTCCTTCTGCCGCAGTGCCTCACCAGCACCACGTAACAAACCTCAACAACCGCTGGAAATTCAGGTCATACTCTTAACTGCAAAGACTGGGTGAAAACAATTGGAAGCTTGTAGAATTCTTTTCCCAAATATAAGCAGCAACTTGGCCCTCCATTGGCTGAAAAACTGAAGAAGTTAAAGCAACCCTTTCTACCAGCAGAATGTTGTAATGCTGCCAGAATAACAACCAGAAACTGTAGGATAGTGAAGAACTGGTTTATGTTTAACAGCAAGGCTAATGGGTAACTTCCAGCTTTGGTTACAGTCGGCTAGAAATTAGCCACATGATTAAAAACCATTAATAGTAAGAGTTCAAACAAAACAGTACCCTTCTCCAATAGCGAGTACACAGCTATAGTAACAGTAACAGCAGTAATAATGACCATTTATTACATTTCCACCCTGGGCCATTATTTTGAGTTACATGCTTCGCATATATTATTTTGTGTCATCTGAATAAGCATACTGCAACTTTGGTATTATCATCTTCCTACTACAAACTGGGAAACTAAGAGAAAAGAAATGGCATAGAGAGGATTCAAACCAAATTCTGCCTGAGTCAAAGCCACAGGTTCTATTTATACGGATGGAACAGCATCCATCAGGCATTAATGGAACCAGCTTGCCTGTAGCTTTCAAGGTTAAACGGATTTAGCCCTATCACAAAGAGTTTGTAATGTATTAGGGTAAAGATAGGTGAAAATAAAGCAAAAACCAAAGGCTATAATAAAAATAGAATGTGATGCTATCATAATGGAAGGGAAACATTAAAGTGGTATATAGAGATACAGAATGGAGGACTAATTCTGATCATGGGGTAGGGGATACTTTGAGTGTTAATTCATTAGACAGTGACTGAGGCAAGGCACCCCTTGCTGAGGGCATGGCATGAACACGACTGCAGAGACAGTGGGATAAAGACAGTGCTACAAAGTGGGACAAAAAACCAAAAGAACGGACAAGAAGCTGGAGGGGGACACAGGAGGAGAAACAGGAAACGCAGGGGGCAGGAATGGAAGACTGACCACAGAGGCCGGAAATGATACAGAGCACCGCATGGATCTGCAGGGAACGGTAAGCCCGTGACAGATTCTTGAGTTTGGGGTGTGGAAGAATTGCTCAAAAAGAAAGGAAGGGGGAGGGGAAGAAAGGAAACCAAATCACCTGAAATGAGACCAAGGAGATAATCATAAATAGTGGCAGGGAGGGCTGGGTACATTCCCACTCCCTCGCCCAGCAGCTTCCATTCAGCACCCATCTAGCCTGTGTCACAAACCAAACTGGAGGGGGAAGAAATGGATCTGGCCCTCATAGATTTAAGCCAATGGGGAGAAATTAAAAAGCAATTGAAACAAGAAAACGTGAAAGGCGTTTCAATGTTAAGTAAACTGCAGGTGTAAGTTCACATAAGCAAGTTTACCTTGGAGATTTTCAAGAATTGCAGGTGGTTCCTTAGGGTTGGTAACTAGAGTGAGACTAGGGGGATCGCAAAAGACTAAAAGGACAGGAAGACAGGTGGTGTCTGGTCTCAAGGGGGTTTACTTGGGGGTGCTCAGATTTTCATGGAAGACA